AAGAGACAATTGTCTGTCGACAAGAAGACTCAGCCTGAGCAGAAGCGTGTGAAAACTTCATCAAGCTTATGCTCGGCAGCAGAGCTCCAGGTAGCAAACATAGAACAGGATGATCTTTGGGCCAACGCAAGACAGGAAGTTGTTCCACTCTCAGAGGTGCCATCCCGTACGACAGTGCGAGTGTGGAGACCGCCCCCCTCGTAGAGGACGAAACCTTACTATCACTTATAAAATGTCAAAACGTGGATGTCATCCCTGATGACTGGACGATGTGGATCAAGCTCGGTTCACAATCTCTGCAGATCTTACGTCGCAAAGCCGGTCAAATCAGATATAGCATTGGTCACTTTAGGGTGATCATCCCCGACGCAGAAGGGGAATCCGCAAAGCCTAAAAGTGGTGCAGATTAATCTGCATCACTGCACGATAGCATCGGAGGATCTGCTGCTCTTCATGGGTGAGGAAGATGTGGACGTGGCCCTTATTAAAGAACCCTTGCTAGTGGCGGGGAGGGTCACAGGTCTATCCACTAGCGGCTTCTTGCTTCTCACCCCACAGACTGAAAGTAAAATTAGAAGCTATATTCTGGCTAAGAAAAGCACTAATATTCTTTTTCTTCCCCAATTTAGCGGTGCGGACATAACAGTGGCAATGTGGGAGCAGAAGGGAACACCCAACATCATCCTCACATCTTCTTACATGCCATATCATGTACCTGATCCCCCGACGACATCCTACAGAAAACTCACCGTTTGGGCGAAGCAACGAGGGATAAGTATGTTGGCTGGCTGTGACGGTAATGCACACCACACGGCTTGGAACAGCTGCAGCATCAACGATAGAGGTGAGTCACTTTTTAGTTACTTATTATCCAAAAAAAAACTGACCATTTGTAATAAGGGTAATCACCCCACTTTCTACAATAGAATAAGGAAGGAGGTTATAGATATAACTCTCGTAACTAACTCGAACAATGTTAGGGTTGAGGGCTGGTACGTTTCGATAAAATGGTCTTTTTCTGATCACTGTCGCATCGTATTGTCCATTAACCTAAGCAAACCGACACAACAACCTTATCGAAATCCTCGTAGGACAAATTGGAAAGACTTCAGCCAGTTGGTGTCTGAAATGCGCCGCCCGTATACGGCGGAGCCAATCTCAGCGGACTAACTGGAGGGAGCGGTCCTCTGTCTAACGAACTAAACGAATGTTACGTAGCAACCTGTCCCGGGAGCAGGCCGCCCAGGCGACACGCAAAGTGCTGGACGGCGGAACTAAGACAACTTAGGATAGCAGCTGGGAGGGCTTTCAAGAAGGAGATAAAAAAAGCAAAGAAAGTATCGTGGTTTTGTAAGGACCTCGAAATGATATCTGAAGCCGCGTGACTAAGAAGGTGCCTCTTAAAAACCCTGCTCCTCCCGGTTTCCTGGAAAATCCAGGAGGAGGGTATACCGAAAGCAGCCTTGAAACACTAGAACACCTGGTGGATTTCAACTTCCCCTTGCGGCAGTGCAGGGGACACAGTCACTCCTGTGACAGAACAACCTAGTACCCATAGGCAAGGCAGTCCAGTTGACAAAATTTTCACTGAACAGAGAGTAGCTTGGGCTATCAGATCCTTCCAACCCTTCAAATCTCCGGATCTAGATGGAATCTTTCCAGCCATGCTACAACGAGCAAGTGCCACGGTAATTTCCTGGCTAACGACCATCTTTTGGGAGCTTCCGCCTTAGCTATATTCCAAAGCTATGGAGGGAGGTAAGAGTGGTCTTCATTCCTAAAGCAGGGAAGACAGGCCACAGTACCGCTAAAGATTTTAGACCTATCAGCCTCTCAACATTTCTCCTCGAAATAATGGAGAGGCTTCTGAGTCTGCAGATCATGCGATGTCTTACTCCTGAGAACTTCAGCGAGGCCCAACATGCCTACCAAAAAGGCAGGTTGGTTGAAAAAGTCCTGCACGAGGTGTTCGGAAGTACAGAGAAAGCATTAACCCATAAAGAATACGCACGGGCAGCCTTTCTGGACGTGGAAGGCGCCTTTAACAATGTTAATTTGGCATCCATACACTGATCCATGGCGGCCGTAGGACTGGACCCGCTGACCACTCTCTGCATCGACAATACGTTGAGCAGCTGAACCATCAATGGCTCCCTGGGAACAGCAGCAGTAAGGAAAACAGCCATACGTGGCACCCCTCAAGGGGGAGTCTTATCTCCCCTGCAGTGTGCTTAACGAATTCCTACTCGCAACATCGAAAGCCGCTAAGGTCGGTCCCTATGCGGATGACTTAGTCATTTTGGTCGTGGGGAAATTCCTCTCCAAAACCGAACTTCTTCTGTCCACCAAGCAATATAAAGTAGACAAATTTCAAACTCCGTACCTCAATGGAGCAAGCCCTGAACTGTCAAAAGAAGCGAAGTTATTGGGGGTTATTCTCGACTCTAAGCTTTCCTGGAAAAGGAATACCGAAGAGCGGAGAAGAAAGGCGCTCATTGCGATCTACTCCTGTAAAGCCATGATCGGGAAAGGCTGTGGGCTGCGACGACAGATAATACACTGGATTTATACGGAGGTGGTTAGACCTATTCTCATCTATGGTGCGCTATGGTGCACGCAGTTGACACCAAAACCTATCTACTCATCTACGCAAAAGGTCCAACGATAGGCATGCTTATGCATAACGGGGGCTAGAGACACTCCTGGATACTCCACCCATAGACATAGATCGCAGCTAAAGGCGCTCTACGACTCAGGGCGTCTAACAGGCAGCGAACAACTTGCATAGGTCCCGCCGAAATCCGCGAGAGAGTGGGGGTAGAGTACACTAGCTGTGACTATCAAGTCACGGAAACTGATTTCAATCGAAATTTTGATGTTCAATACTCCAGACAGAAGTGACTGGGAACTTAGTATTGCTCTTAGTGATGACGAAATACCCATTTTCACGGACGGCTTCAAAATTGACGTCGGAACAGGATCCACAGCAGGTGGGAAAATCTGCACACCTGCATGGTATCGCGCTCGCTCTGGCCACGGCTCGACGAACGAAAAACAAGGAGTTTATTAAGGCTGTCAAAGCCAAACGTTAAGCTTCTCACAGGAATACTAACGGGACACTGGACCATTGGCCATATGGCCGCCAGATTCGGAACACCGCATAACGATTTCTGTAGAAGCTGTAGAGATGAGGAGGACGTAGAATCCGTCCAGCACTTCCGTTTTGAGTGTCCAGCACTCCGAAGAAAACGCCTCAAGTTTCTTGGGGACCATTTCTTCGAGAGCCTGGATACCTTAGGGAAAGCTCCACTGGAAGGATTCGCCAGACAATCAAAATGGTTCAAAGATATGTAGGGATAGGCATAAATATGTATTCTATTTTGAATGAATTGTTGAATATAATTGTTATAAGGCCATAAAATAACAAAAACAAAGTGAATTGTTTTCATTATTTTCTTGGTAAAATACGTGTGTTATTTATTTTTGCGCCGACAATTAAATATTAGGAAAATATTTTTAATTGCCTATTTTATTTTTTTGTAGCACATATTTTTGAACTTTGAGTGCATATTATAAGCGCATATTTTCGATTTTGCATTTGATTCTGAGCCCTAATTATTATTATTAAAGCGAATGTTTGTAGCAGCTAAGAATTTGCGTTGTTTTTATATTATATTTTTTTGTCGCCGACCTTTTGCGTTTTTGTATATAACATTAGGGATTTTGCGAATGTGAAATTTTAGACATCCGCGGATGCGAATGCGGATGTCAAGTATTTTTAAGAAATAATTTATGTGAGTAATTGGTGGGATTTACGTAAATAAAAAAATAAAAAAGTTGGTAATTTTTAATAATGTTTATTTTATTTAGTACTTGAATGAAAAAATTTGAATATTTTATTTAATAAAAAGTAATACTGTTGCCTTTTCGGGTTAAAGCCTGTTTCTCACAAGAGTCGTAAATGAAACCTGCGTCACTACCTGCTCGCACTCGAGGCGAAATATATTTTCGTCTGAAACTTGACAATATTTTTAATTCTTTTCGATTGACGCTGCACCAGTTGAGAGGACTTTCGGTTATATATTTTTTTTATTCCGGTTGAGAGTTGCATTGGGCCTTCAAATGTCGAATGTATCCTCCTAATTTTCATCTTCACTTGAAGAATCTAGCATCATGGCAAGATCGTTGTTTAAACACAGCTAACAATCGTAACCAGATGTGTCAGCATTTTCCAAAGAATTCTTCATTCTCAGCGTTTTCAATTTAATTTTTGTAATTAATTTTTAATCCTTTGTTCTGTGAATGATTTGCAAAATGTGTGCTTATAGCGAGGTTCTAAATAGGTGGATATGGGAAATATATGGATATTTTCCAGGGATGAAAATTTCGAACAAAATTCGGGTTTCAAAGTCGTGGCTGCCAACAAAATCGGATCAGAATCGTGTTATTGTGTTTTTATAGGCATTTTAATTATTGGAATCACGGATGACGATGGTCTCAGAGGTCCTTAGTACCCGGGTGGCTTCTGCAAAAGGTTCACCTATAATGAATAGCTTGTAATTAGTTTTATTATTTGCTGGGCTCGACTTTTCCTAGTTGCAGGAAGTCACAATTAAATATTCACCGCTGCGGGTGCCATAAACTATCAAATCCGTTTTTTTGTTTCATTCCATACGCACAATGCGCTTCCATATTTTGAGGCAGATGTACGCAAATTTTCAACACATTGCATGCCAAGTCCCACTCCTCAATAGATATTAAACTCGTGTTGAATTGATTCTTATTTGAATTGTGAACTTGGCTGTTCACATTCCGTTTTATCTTTATTTCCCTCCATGCTAATTTTGACAACTATCACAAAACCAAAATAAATATAATTGTGTTTGAGCTGTAACGGCGACTGGTTAACACGACTGGCAAAAAATATCGGAAGGTAAAGATTTTCATTTTGTTTGCCATATATATGTATGTAGGTTTCATCAGTGCACTT